TGAGGGAGCTGGAGATAGGCTGTTTGTTACTAGAGAAGATGCTGAGGGGATTGAAGTGTGGCAAAGTTCTCAGTTTTCCGGTGCTGTTTTAAATTTGTGATCGTGTGGAGCTGTGAGCTTTGTATGAGCTTACATTGCCTGTTTCATGTCCTAACAGAGAAGAGGGTTGCAATCAATTGATGATTAGAGTAAAACTACGAGCCGACTGAGCTAGTTTGCGATTGAGCATATTTGTTGTAGTATCTTTTTGAGCTGTCTGCTGCGGTTTGCAATGGTCATCAATGGGAAGTTGGTCGACGGTCCGAGTAAAGTTAGAATCCACACCGAACTAGTTTGAGATTGAGCATAGTTGTTGTATATATTTTAGCTGGCCAACTACAGCTTGCAATGGTCATCAATGAAATGAATTGTGTATTTGGTGATTTCTTTTGGATGTCAAGTTGATCAATCAAGGAACAATGTGCGTTGATATGACCATGACGAATACCTGAAATCAGATTCTTGTTGATCCATTTTGGACACGATGTTGATCAATCAAGAACATTGTGGACAGGTGTTATGCCATCATGTAATGAAATGAATTTGGTTTATTGGTGAATTTGGGCATCCCTGTTATTAAGAAAGAATGGTATCCAAGCGTGTTTAATTATTTGTATCCGAGGTAGGCCTCTAACTGTTTCTTTTGATGCTCTATTTGTATTCACGACTTTGGTTGCTAGATTGCTGTATCATTTGGTTAGCTACATGTACACGTGAGATTATAACTTTTTACCTTAGTATCATGCGTAATTCCACGTTGACAAGACTTATACCATATTCCTTAGAAAATTAGGTGGCAAAGGAGATTTGTAAGTATTGTATTCTTTGTTTCAACTGCTAGTGATGATGAGCCATTTCAACAGAAAGTAACTCTTTTAGTTTACATGTCGCTTTTACCCCAAATTAGAAGTGATCCCTGTTCTTTTTATTGGTACTTGTCAAATTCTCTAGCAGGTGGTTTTTCTATTTTAATTCTTTCTTGATCTCCCCCAAGTAATAAAGTGAAAAACATATTTAACACTTGTTTCTTGCCATCTGCTGTAATTTATGTGCTGGAGGCACATTCTTGGGGTTATGTGGTTGTGTTACTAGTCTAGTAGGCAAGCGAAGTGATGGCTTGAAGAATATCAGAAACAACTCTCCAGTAATCATATTTTCCTGTTGGGGAATCTCTGTAGTTCAGTTGGTTGGCTACTTGAACTCCCACCTTGTTGGTGAGGGTTCGATTCCCCACATTGTGACCTTCTTCCCATTTCCCCTTCCTCTACCCCCAATTTTTGAATAAATAAATTTTTAAAAAAAATCATATTTTCCTGTTTAAAGAAGCTATAACTGAACATTGAAATTTTAGCATTGAATCTGGGCTCTTGTGTAAAAGAAACAAGTGCTGCTGTAATTTTGAAATCAGCAATTAAGCTTATCTCAAAAGATTAAAATCCCTAGACTACTGGAGAGAGCAAGCAGTAGGAAGAAAAGAATAAAGAGAATAGAGGAGAAAGACTGAAGAAAGGGAATTGTTGTTTGCTGGTTTAGGAATACCTTTCTTTGTATAGAAGCTGCTTTAGTGATGGCATTGTAGAGAAGTTATAATCTCCCTCTCATAGTTGTTGAAGGGTCAGAGGAGACATGAATGAGCTCAGAATTGATGGTAAAGGATCATATGATACCTGAAAGCAGTAAGTGAAAGTGTAGGTTCTTTTTCTGTTTGCAGTCAATGCTCATGAGACCAAAGTGCTTTTCTTTGTTTATTTGTGAAAAATCTTTCCAATCTGTTAAGCCCTCACATCATCTGAAGGTTGTTGTGCTTGGCGATTACAAAATGTTTGATGCACATACCAAGACTGTGAAAATTCTCTTCTGTGAAGGAAGCACTTTGAGTAATCTTTTCTGCTCTAGTCATGAAGGAGTAGGAACAAGGATTTCACTGAAAGAACAGGAACATAAACCTTTGGCTTTTTGTTTGGACAGTTAGTGGGAAAGAGTAGCTCTTGATAGTAAAAACTGAGGAAAAGATATAAGGAAATTAAGAGGATAATATTGCAACTTTACTCATTTGTAGCAGCTTATTTCGAGAACCTCTCAAATAGACAAAAGTTGTTATGATGCACTTACAAATTAAAAAAAAAAAAGGCATTCCGGTGCACAAAGCATCCCGCGAGCCACATCCCAAACGGTGTGATGTAGACAGCCTACCCTAATGATCCACTTGCAAACGCATTAAGAAATTGTTTATAATCCTATTACTGTCAGGCCTTTTCTTTTAAAAACTGTAAGGCCATTATTTATAAGCTATAGCAGTAGTTATAAGTTTTCCCTCCTATGCATCAATTGCACCTTCTTGTCTTAATTGTGAGTTGCGCCATACCTCCAATATATATATATATACTTCCATAACTCCACAATTTATGGTCCTTTTTGAAGTGCTCCTATGTACTCCAATGTTGTCGTCAATCCCATCACATAAGGGGGCACATAAGTGTGGAACAAAACAGTGACTTTGGATTTTGTTGGAGATGGAGCTAGAGTTCTTCCCTCGGAATGCTTTGTTTAAGTTGTGATTTAAGCTTAAATTCATTTTTTAGATCATTTTGTGCTCAGTGGCAGAGCCACACTTGGCCAAGGGATGTCTATTGACGTCTCTTCACTGGTTAATTATACTGTGTGGATAGGTAACTTTTTTGTATGTATGTATACTATTTGTTGAATCCCCCACACTTGGCCAAGGGATGTCAATTGACACTTCTTCACTGGAAATTATACCGTGTAGATAGGTAAAAATTTTTTATGTATATATACTATTCGTTAAAGCCCCTTCGCTTCTTCATATGTTTACTTCTTTATATTTTGACCCCCCTATGAAAATCCTGGCTCCACCATTGTTTATGCCACATCTAATAGCTGTTAATGAGGATTAATTTTCTATACTGGTGCTCAGCTTATTTTAGGAACTACAAGCTTAATATATTGCTGCTTTACGAAAAGCAGAATTTCATCAACCTGGACATTCCATATCACTTTCATGAAAACATACTTCACTTAAAACTGATATGGTTTCTAGAGTCTACTGTAGAATATTGAACCCTTTCAAGCTGCTGATAATGTCACTGTGCAGGTTCAAGGACTAAGGCCTTTTCAATTAGTTCTTGTTAGAGTCGAAGAAGAAAAGAAGTTGCTCGCTGATGGAGTTGAATGATCCCAAGACAGTAATATTCTTGAAGGTCACATTGCATACCAAGCAGAACAGCTGGGCTGCAAGCTTGGAGATCTGTAGGGTTTGGTAACCTCATTATTTTTTGTCGTGTTAGTACATTTACCTCAGGTCCTATGTTTTCTAGGAATCCTTTAGTGAGAGAAAATAGTGAGAATTTCGTACTTGTATTTTTGTTCAATATTGGTCCAAGATGAGCTTAAATGGAGCAACATGGTCCGTGATGATTTACATCGCTGACCCCAACTTGCTTGGCCCTGAGGCGTTGTTGTAAATTGGTTTGTGAAAATTTCCATCGGAGGCTGAGATGCGTGCTATTTCCAAATGCTAAATGAAACAAAGCACGTCGGTCAACTAGCATAAACACTTGTCGTAATGCTCCATTGGCCATCCTTGTTGTTTCATTTCTTGTTATATGTATGTTAGTTATGTAGGACAACTTTTCTTGATATTTATTAATCTGCTCATTAAATCAGCATTGTGTGTATGGTGGTGGGTTATTGCCTCTCTTCAAAGCGTTGTAGATCGATTGGTCAACTTATGTACATCCATTTTCTTACAGAGCTAACTCGTGCAGTGTTATCTAAAGATATTGCTTCATTTCTTAAAGCGATGAATTGATTCTGGAAGTAGGGTGTTGTTACTTCATAGGCGAAGCCATGGTCTTTAGAGTAGTTTGTGCTTCAAACAATGGTGCATATAGTGATTCTAGCTAGAATCTTTCGCTTCTTTGAATTTTGAGGAGTTGGATTAGTAATGGAATTATTGTATATTGCATGCTGGAGTGAATTTTTCTCATTGTTGTGCGGTTTACTTCAAATAAGTGTGTGCTTCACTTGTTACTTTTGCTTCAAATTCCATGGACTTCATCGCCTATTTCGCTTTCAAAAACACCAGCCTTGTGTGTTTTAGTAGAATTATCCTTAGTTATCACTTGTACATGATGTCATTATATCACTCTTGTCAATTTCTGATCCAGGAGTTGCTTTAATTTCTTTCCCCTTTTAAAGTTATTTTTTAGAGATTATTTGTTTATATGCAGGTGAATACGTCTCATACATTACATCTCACCCTCGAGCAGAGTTTGTTTGATAAGATTTCGGTGGAAAATGAAAATGGGTTCTTGAACCTTCAAGATTACCTACCTCAAGTAAATGTTTCAGAGGTGGGAGTTAATGGTGATGCTTCTTCCCATGACTGATCACTTAATTCTTTGGTTTAGGTGGGTGGATGTGCACTTAATACGCATTTACTCATTCTTGCATCCCAAACAAAAATACACATTGTACCATGACTCTATCGGTATGGTATAGAAGATGTGCTATTTCTGCCTCCTCAAATATACTTTGTTGCACATTTCCATTCCTCTTTTTAGTTTTGAATAACCACGTTTTTACATATATCATGTTTTAATTTATTTTTTATCACATGATTAATACTAACATGTTTCCTTCGATAGTCGGCCAAGGGAGAACAGCGTAGGCGTTACGTTCAGAATTCCCACTGGTTATAATAACAAGAAAACATTGGGAGTTGTGAACACATATCTTATTTACCCCTATATACAACTGTAATTGTGTGTGGGGGTCAGAACATGTACTATTTCCGTTTTAATTTATTCGTCTCACTTTGTTTTTAAAAAAAATCTGACAATTCTTATTTAACTTTAACATCATAAGCTCTTGAAAATATTTTCTATCTAATGAATGGGAAGTTCATTTAAAATCGTAAACTTCCGAGTGTATGTATATGCTTTAACAAGAATTATATGAGAGTAGATTAGAATAGTAGTAATATGTATTAGTACACATAGCCTCAGATCAAAAGAGTTCATTATTAGGTAATATACACAACTTTTGTTTTTCCTTCTCTATGAGCTAGCTAGTTTTCAGCCTTCAAGCTCTACTTTAAAGAAACCCAAACCTGCAAAGAACTTCAACAGTGTCTTTTTACTCCTTTGCATATCACTTACAAACACATTCTCTTCCACTGCCTTCCCATTAGACCAATCTCCTCCTCCTTCAACCAGTTCAGACTTTTCTGTATCTTCATGCCCTCTTCTTACTTCTTGCTTCACATTAATCTTCACCTTTTCTGGAGGATGTGTTATATCTTCCTTTGTACTCAACTGGACATTTAAAAGAGACAACATATCAGAATTCACAAATAAAGAAAATTGCAATCAACAGTAAATGAGCTATGTAATGTCTTTGACAAGTACCAAAGTAAAGTCTCGACATTTTAGGTAAAAGGCCTTTGAGTAGTTAAGATATGCCAGATTCCACCAAGTATACAAATGGAACCTAAAGCATACATGTCCTCCAATTATATCTTCTAAATCGGACTAATGACGTATGCAATACTAGATGTTACATCGTTGGTTCTCATTCTTCAGGGAATACAAGTGCAATAAGAGCATCTGTCGACAAAAGGATCACCCTAACATGATTATCTCATGGACATAATGGGGTTACACGTTTTACTTTGTGCGTCTAACTTTCTTGTGTTCTAAGAACATACATTGTTACAATGTGATTAAGAGATTGTGCTGTTCTCAGTTTTTCTTGAGAAAGAACTTAGAGAATGGAAATATTTGTTCATTCTTGGTAATTCAAGCACAAATGACTCGACATCGTAAAATGGCTTATTTATTATGAAGACAAACTGAGAGGAACTACATTTGCAAAAGACACTACTTCCTCCATATACATATCATTGTTAACCGATATGTAAGGGGTCATCGCCACTTGCCAAGCTTATAAAGAAAGAGACTTTTAAGAGGTGTTAAGCAGTTACCTCTGTCACATTGAACTCCTCCGATTTCGATCCAACTGAGCCCTCAGCAACAACTTTTTCCATGTGAACTTCATTCAACTCTTCACTATTTGATCCAAGCTGTGAGCTCTCAACAACAACTTTGTCCGTGTGAACCTCTGAGGTCAAAACTTGTGTTAAGCCAGGAACCAAGACGGGAACTCTTTCGTCCTCCACTAAGATGGACTCACTTTTTGAGCTCAACACTCCATCAATAGAGGTCACCATATTCTTGCCAATAGCTTCTGCTTCCATTGTGGTGTCCTCATTTCCACCAGTGTTCACATCCTCGTTTACTTCAGTGATATTTTCCGCGACTATAGCTAGAACTTCATTAGTTTTTTCCTCATTTACATCATCTTCTATGTCTACAGCTGATTGTGGAACCAGATTCTCAGCTATTAAAATTTCTGGACTAACTGTCGATTGTTCTGCACTAGGCTCCTCTTCTACAATTGTCTGCAGCTCAGCATTGTCCCAATCTTCAGAAACTGTTATCGTTTTCTTCGTTTCCCATGTTTGAATAATTCGATCAGGGCCTTGTTGCCACAAGATAGTCTCATCATCTACTGTCATAATGAACTTGTAGCTGATAGTTTTTCCACTTGGGATATCCTAAAGAAGTCCATAAAATTAGAACATCCTTAAGTTAATTAAAACATCAATTAACAACATGTTCTTACCAACTCGACGTTCCATAAATGTCCCTCTGACCATTCAAGTGGCACTGCATTTGATGGATCCCATAAACCGAGTATTGGATCATCGCCCACTAAGTAGAAATGCTGACCAAAGGAGCATTCCTTATTCAATTGAAATTTTACGCGAACTGGTTCGGATTGATCTAGAAAGAAAACAACAGTATCAAGTTGATTTAGTCTTTTGGACAGGATTAAGGTACAACAAAAATAGCTCCTAGATCCAAGACAATGTCACAGTAAGATTAACTTACTTGTATCAGTTGTTTCTGTTTCTTCACTCTGAGTATGTATCTGAATGAGTTAAAAGTTAAATATCAATTATATTGGTTAGTTTTGCTAAAGAAACATAAATTTTCATCCAGTTAGTGCAGATACCATTTATATAAATGCACCAAAGATTCAACTTTATATCCTAATATTAGTATATTATCTACATTAGCAGAACAAGAAAACACATGAGTCCTTTTGGGACTACAGTATCATGTTTTGGTAAAGAATCATCACAAACAAAAGCATCCAGCTTTCAATATCTACTCCCTTTTCCTTTTTAGTAAATTCCAAAAAAAAAATTATCTTTCTATAATTAGATATAAATAACTTCAAAATTCCTTTTTAGCTTTAATCAAATGATTTATAGCCACGTAAATGTGTAAGATTTGTTTCAGATAACACATTTCAAAAGTATTCCTTTTTTTCTCATTCTTTCTTAAACTATATGTCAAGTCAAACACTGTCACGTAAATTGAAACAACGGTAGTTATATCTTATTCTGAGCTACCATTAACTTCACTTTGAGGTGAACAATTTTAACTCTACAACATTTTTGCATCATATTGCAAGCCAACACCTTTCTACTCAAATTTGAATAGAAAGAAACAAATAAATTAAAGGTAAACTGCAAAGATATCAACAAGACTCAATTTTTTTTTTGCCAAAAAACTATTTAGCACATAAATCAACCCTTAAATGAAACTGAAACTAAATACTAGTATTCAATAAAGAAAAATAAAACAAACCTGAGAATCAGAAGCACAAAAAATAGGGTGAATAGTTTTGTGCTGAACAGAACATGAGGTAATATGAACAATCTTGAAACTTGACAATCCAAGAAAGCATATTTCTGATTTTTTACTCAAAGATAAAACTTTGTGTTTATCTAAAACCTTATCCAAACAAACCCCTTTTATTGATAGCCCTGTTAAAGACTCCATAACTAAAGTTTGAAGCTTTTTTCTCAATTTGGGGTTCAAGAAAAACAGAAAATAAGAAAGATGATTATGTTTTTGTTTTTCTTCAGAAATATAGTGTTTGTTGTGTGTAACTGTGGGAAGAGAGACTGGTGGCTATTAGGGAGTGGAGGTGGGGTTAATTTAAATACTTTATACTTTTCTTTATTTGTCCTAATTTTCGTGGCACATTTGAAATTATTTAAATTTAGATATATAGGTGGCTATTTATATTTTAAACCAAATAAGAAATACTATTTCATTTGTTTCAATTAATATGATAGATCTTTCTTTTTGATCAGTTTTAAAAAAAAAACATATTTAAATATATAATAATTAATATGTTAAAAATATTTTTTTTTAAATATGAAAAAAGCTTTGTTGGCTTTAGAAATTTTGTGTCACATTAATTGAGATCGAGAGAGCAAAAAGACCGGAGAGTGTGGGGTCCAGTGGGAGCAATGGCCACGGATCAAGTACCAGGTGACTTCATTGCCCAGGAATTGAATCTTTAACTTTAATTGGAATCTCAAGTGAGTTTAGTAAAATCGAGGATGCGATACGATGCGATAAACTAAATGTTTTTTTTTTAATCAAAATTTTAATTTGAGCTTTGAATTATAATTTTCTTTATAGGGTGCTACTCCCGAATAAGACCCTATTAGCGTGAATTCAGATTTGTCAGATTTGAATACGAATATCGAACTCCAAATAAAGAAAAAGTGAATAATAATAAAAATGTTTTTTTTTTCTTGTTCTTGGGAGTGCAAATTAAGTAATTAAAGGTAACGCACAGCTTACGTTCTTACCACTAATTTATTTTATTTTATTTCTAAATAAAAAGGGCCCAAACTTTTGCTCCTCCACATATTTGATATTACTCGTGATGTATTGTATTTACCATTTGGGTCACATTATGGACCTACAAGTGGACCTGTTTTGGATATATCATTTTAATGTATTTGTTTTTAAATTAAATTTTTTGAGTTGGATTCGTGCATAATGGAATATAAAAGAGTTGATATTTGACACGAATTCAGAATCTAAAATTCTTGAGTTTGATTCTAGAATATATATCTACTATACATATAATAGTTTAACAATATATATAGTGACTTCCTCTTAAATATATTTATTATAAAAAGGTGTAACGGTAAACTTGAATTTTGGGAAAGAGAAGTTAGTGTTAAACGTATTAAAACAAGTATTAAATGAATATTGTGCACACTTTTGAAAGTTACAAAAGAAATCAAAGACATGTTTTTTTCCCTAAAAGAATTAAAAAACAAAGATCTTTATCTTTCTCATATTTTCCTAATAATTCCTTTGAAAATGCCAAAGAGAGACCCTTAATTAACACAATTATTTTTTAAATCCTTAAAACTGAAAGTTAAATACAGGTTTCATTCCATTATGGATTAACTACAAATTTTATTTTTTCTCAATCACTTGAATTACCCAAAATAAATAGAAAAGATTAATCCACAACATATCCCGTGAGATCTAGAAAAAGTAAATTGTACACAAACTTTATTATTACCTCGTAGTAGATATGTTGTTTCTAAATAGAAAAAGATTTAATATATGTTAAAATATCCTTGCTGTTTCTCTTATTGTAATGTAATGGCATGCTTGCACTTAATAATTCTTAGGCACCCTACATGCTTTTATGTAGGGGTGTTCACGGGTTGGTTTGGATCGGTTATTGGTGAAAATAAAACCAAACCAATTTAATCGGTTTGGTGGTTATCGGTTTCGGTTTGGTTTGGTTCGGTTATTAACCATACACAAAAATAAAAGAAACAATTCATTCAAAATGTGAAAAAAGTGACAACAATCCATTCAAAACAAAAAATAGTTAGAATGACTTAAATTAATGAACTTTTGATCACTAAATTTACTATTAGTAAAGCTTTGAAATTCACTATATTAGCCTAAAAGGAAGAGAAAATAACATTTTCAGTCCCACAAAGAATTGAAATAGACACTCATATACATGAAATCAATAAAATAAATGTTTTCATC